TGAAACATCTGGAAAAATATCCAAGCTGGCTAACCTTTCAGTTTGCTCTTCCAGTTGCAGACGAGGCAGACGAAGCGGTGGGAGACGGAGCCCACCCACCGCGCCGCCACCTCCATCTCCTCCTTCATCAGCTCCTCGCTCATCCCGGCGCCGTCCTCCTCCTCGGCCCGGCCCGTCTGCAGCTGCCGGCTCTTGGCCAGGGCGTGGCTGGCGTAGCTCTTGGGGATCTCGTGTTTGCGAACGATGTGGCTGACGGAGACGGAGCGCTGCCTGTGGCTCCAGCCGCAGATCTTACAGTGGAACAGAGCGCCGTCGAACGTCAGAACGTACTGCTTCTCTTCCTCACCGACCTTCCCCTCACGCTGCTCCTCCTCCTCACTTTTCTTCTTCCCCTCCTCCTCACTCTTCCTCTTCCCCTCCTCATTCTTCTTCCCCTCTTCCTCCTCACTCTTCCTCTTCCCCTCCTCATTCTTCTTCTTCCCCTCTTCCTCCTCACTCTTCGTCTTTCCCTCCTCTTCCTCACCCTGCTTCCTTTCAGCAGCTGCCTTCTCTCCATCTTCATCCTCACACTTCTTTTTACTTTCTGGACTGTCCTCTTCATCACTGCTCCTCTTTCTTTTCGGACCCTCCAATTTTTCTTCATCCTTCCCTCCATCCAGCTCCTCTGCGTCCTGTGCCTCCCCCCCTCTTCCTCCCTCTTCCTCCTTCTCCACTATGCAGTGCCGGGCGATGATGTGTTTGTACAGTTTGCTGAAGTCCTTGCAGGTGTGGAAACACTCAGAGCAGTGGAAGAGTCTCGCACTGCTCTGGTACATCAGTATGTTGCCAAGGCGACCCACGGCCACGTCATCCAGGCAGGTGGGGTGTGACGCCGCCAGGTGGGCCAGCTGCTGGGCGTGGCTCTTGGACAGCTGGCCGCAGTGAGGGCACCGGAGGTGGGCGGCCACCCCGCCGCCCGCCTCGCCCCGGGTGTGGATGAAGACCGACATGGTTGCTAGGAGACCCCAGTAGAGAGGTATAATGACCACAAACGTCAATATTTAAGCAGAAATGACCAACACAGTTAAATTAAAGTCATTATTAGCATCAAATTGTTAATTCATTCATAAGTAGGAGGTTTTGTTTTCAATCAGAGAGCACCTTAAAGAAGCCTCAGACCATATATGGTTCGTCCTATAAGTTAAAAGAACTAATTTAATCATTATGTAGCTGAATTACCTCCGTTATTAATGGTTTATGTTTATTTTTCCATTAAATGAATCCCGGTGATGTGACTACAGTGTAATAACGGTACAGGACCAATGGAGCTATGCTAAGCTAACATGCTAACAGCCGTTAAAACCATCCCTTTAAACGCAGTTTTTACCCACCTCTCCGCACTGCTGTCTCTGTTTGACTGCGTTGGACCAGTGAAACCAGTATAAAGGATTAATTTTCACTGGTTTGAAGACAAATGTCTGTTTTCAACCCACCGAGGGTTACCTGATGCGCTGCTGTATTTACTTCCTGCGCAGCCAATCAGAACAGAACTCAAACATCGCGTCTTCTTCTTCTATAGAGTTTATTGGCATCTTACAAGTCTTGGTGTATTACCGCCATCAACTGGACTGAGGTGTAACTACAAGTTTAATCCATTTTATCCTCTCGGTTTACTTTGTGTCATTTAAATCCTTTATAAGTGCTTTTATTATATATCTACATGTCTGGGTTCTACTTCTACATTACTACTTGAGTTTATTGCCTAATATTATTAGCTCATTACATCTTCATGTAACATTAGTCTGAGATTTTTACGTAAAACTAATTCAAATCAATAAACCAAAATATTATTTAATTTTATTCTAAAGTAAAACATTTTGAATAAAATCATTCTAATTATAATTTGAATACTTTTAACTACTTTATTGAACTTAGAGAAATGCAATAAGAGTGACCGACTTATAGCTGATAATAGATCAAATATCTTTCTATTTATTTCAGTCAAACTCAAATGAATTTAAAAAAAATGTCAAAAACATGAAACCATGTTTAATTGGAAACGACAAACATTAAAATAATAAAACCTGTTATGTGATGAACAGGAAGCAGTTTGTCTATAGGAGGATTTTAGTTTTATTTGTGTTTTTTAGTCAGATGAAAAGTTTGCAGCTGGAAACAGATTGTAAAGAATCCAACTTTGTTTGGAGTTTAGATATGATCATAAAACGAATTCATCCATTTTATTAAAGTCACAGTTTGTTTCTATTTTTGTCAACTTTGTTTGTGTCGTTTCTGTCCTTGTTTTGCACAAACTGACAGCGAGCTGTTACTAAATGGAGGCTTTTATTGTGGAGGGATGGAGGAGGAGAGAGAGTCAGAAGGAGGACTTGTGTTTTCATTCCGTCTTTGCTTGGATTCACACACACACACACACACACGGAGTGAGGTGAACATGCTCTGCTTTAAAGGTGAGACTTCAGTGTTTCATTCTCTTTCTGACAGCGCAGCACTGCGGCTAATGGAGGCAACAAAGTGCTGCTGCAGTGCTTTAAACTGCCGTTACCATGGTTACAGCCATGATGCTCCTCTGAGTCGCGTTGGTTCTGGTGGCGGTCGGTCGGTCTGTCTGTGGGTTCTTCTCTCTGCTGCGTGTCAGCCGCTGTGTGTCTGTTTGTGTGTTTAATGAGCGGCGGCCTGTCGAGGCAGGCCGAAACATCCCATTCAGCTTCTCACACACACGCACACACACACACTCAGAGCGGCTGCAGCTGCACCAGGCAGAATAAACCTGGTTCTGCTCTAACTTTAGTCCGTTGCAGTTTTTTTTTGCCTGGACTTTTGTTTGTCTTTCAGATCTTACTTTCTTCTCCAGAATCTGTTTTTGTGTTTTTTTCTCTTTTTTTATTCTCCTCTCCAGCGAATAACGGCATTAAATCCTCTTGACAAGCATAACTTTTCTTCTTTGGTCCTATGTCTGACGTTTTTCTGCTTTTTAAAAACACAAAATCTTACAAAGTATTTTGGTCCAGTTTCTATTTCAGCCTCTTCTAGAAGCTAAATATTTCTTTAATAATAATATAAGGGTTCTAGTTTCACAGGTAAATTATTTTACTTATAGGAAAATGTCTTATAAGTGAATATTTTGCAGCTTTCTGTCTAATTAGTTATTTTGTATTTTTTCGTTCTCTAATGGATTTTCAGCAGCTGATCGTTTAGTTCATCTTTAAGTGAAACATTTTTGCATCTGCATTAAATGAGAGTTATAAATGAACTTTGCTGCACAAATGGATCCAATTCATATCCAGTAATATGGAAAAGTAAACAATAGAGATGGAGAAATTGGTAAATGACATCACTAGCTTTAACTGACAATGACAACAGAGAATAAATCCAGTTAGATTCAATAATATTTCCATTTAAACTGGATTCAGTTAAACTGGGTCAGGAAAACTTTCTATGGAGGAATAATCAGGTCAAAAACTGGAGGAAAGTCTCGTCTATCTCGGCGTTTACAGTTTCTCAAAGCTAAAACTAAAATCCATGATTCTGCCTGGAACTTCCTGGAAGTTTTTGATGAAGAGGTTGAAGAAAAGCTAAGTTTCTAGTTAGTGCAAATTTGTCTCTTTTAGCTTCTGCAACAAAAAAATTGCGGCACCAAATCTGCATCCCGTGTCCGATCCAGTTACAGGAATCAGTCTTTAATCAATCAGTTGAATTTATTTGTACAGTGGAGTTCAGCAACATGGAAGTTCAAAGTGCTTTATATCATAAAAACATAAAAATAAGAAGTCATAGAAACAGCATACAGTCACGTTAAAGTCCATCTTTAGTGCTGAAGTGTTTTAAAAAGTCGACAGCTTCCTGTTGACTGCAGAACATTTTACTGTAATTTCCTGTTTTTATCAGCTTATCTTTGAAATCATGACTGAGTGGAAATGCACTCAGCTGTAATAAACCAGATAAAAACAGAGTCTGACTTCCAGAAACTGGATTATTCTGTCAGTATGAGGACAGACAGAACCAGCTGATGGACGGAGTCAGTCAGACGATCCAATCAGCCGATAATCAAACCGATGTGACAGGAACTCTCCTGTTTCTCTGTTTGGTTTCTGTTCTGCTGCGTTCGGCTCTGGGATGATTTAATGTTCGCCTGGAGGAGCGTCTTTCACCTCTCTGCTGCTCCACTTGTTTCCTCTTCAGTGTCATTAAAAAAAATCACCTGGCAGATCCTCAGTTTTCACTTTCAGAGCTGCTGCAGGTTTAATCCTGATGGATTCTCACGCAACGGCAAACTCAACTTTTTGTCTCTCTGCTGTTTTTACACATCTGAGGACGTTCTTCTGGAGGTTTCTGATAATTTTTGCTGCTTTTTGAGCTGCAGAGTTGAAGTTGTTCTGCATTTGTGTTGGTAAACGAAGCCTTTTTGGCTAAATAAGTAAATAAAAACCAGATTTTTATTGGTAAACATTCAGCAAAACATATTTAATTTTGCTCCTCGTTCCTGTGTTTGTCCATCATAGATGTAACATGATGAGTTTCCAGTAGCAGTCAGTGTTGCAGGACACCTCAGACTGATTGTCTCATGCTAACATGCTAACATGCTAACGGCACATTTGTTCCACATTAGTGTTCTGATGACATCATCAGCTGCTAATCCACATCCTTTGCTTTTGCTGTCTGGTTGTTTATAGGAAGATACTGGAGTAGGGGATGTGATCCATAGAGAAGGGTGTGAATACTTTTCCATGTCTTTATTTATATGTATTGTTTCTGCTTCAGTTGAATTATTTTGTTGCTACTGTGAAAACTGAACTCTTACTTTAGTTGTTTTTAGTTCAGTGACTGTTTGACTAAACGGCTGATGGATGTTTTCAGCGTCTCTAAACTCCAGGGTCTATTTTCAGTGGAGGATTAATCCATGTTTGAACTTGTCCTCCTGTCAGACTTCGCTTTGATGCTCTTCTTTTCTACAGAGGAAAGCAGCAGCATGTCAGCGGCTCTGAGCTGCAGCTCACCTGGCAGATGCCACCTCCTGGTTTCTGGAGGGTCAGAAATGAGTCGGGAACATGTGGAGGTAGAAACCTGTTGACTCTGGCCATCTGCAGACCTGGATAATCCCTGTTAGCAGATTAAAGCAGGCAGAGCGCAGGCAGAGCGCAGGCTGGTTTCTGGAGGAGACGAAGGTTTGGGATGTTTGTTTTGTTCTGTGAAGGAATGAGAAGAAGCTGCAGAGTTTCACTCTAAATCTGGACGTTTTTTTGGTTGTTTTTGATCAGGAAAGGTGGTCAGACATGTGGAAATCCTTTTAATCTGAAAAACCTGAATTCATTTTCAGTGTCGTGGGAAAAACTTTGATGAACTTACTGGATTTACTCTGAAGAATCTCCTTTGACTCATTTTTCAGCTTCAACTGCAGAATTAAAAAGTTGCTACATGCAGGACGACCGATTACTTTCCTCTGCAAGATTAAACAAGTTAAAGGCTTTTGTTTTGAAGTGCTACAGCTTTAGAATTGATTATGTTTTTGAACTTAACTAGGAGAAAAAGTGTTTTGCCCGGTTTTGGAAACATTATTTCATGAACGCTTTGTGTTGTCAAGCTAACAGTGGATCTATTTTGGTACTGATATCATGAGACATTTCATGAATCAGGCTTCGTTCTCCATCTAGCCAATCAGACAGGATGATTTCGTACGTCGACTGTCTGGGCGGCGAGGGGGCGGGGCCTGGAGCGTCGTCACAATGCTGGAACGGCGGACCCGACGAAGAGCGCGATGAGCTTCTTCCGCGCAAGATGGCCGCCCTGCAGCCGAAGACGGAGGGCAGCCTGAGGCGGCGCCTGCTCAGCGCCAAGATCTACCAGCAGCAGAGCGCCATGATGGGGCTGAACGCCAGGCCGGCGCCACCTTCAGGTGACAGGAAGCCCCTCCCACCTCACCTTCAGGGAAACCCCTGGCTCCTCCCACCGCGGCAGCATGTTCACCCGTCCCTCCCACTGGAGGCTCATGGGAAACTCTTCTTCTCCCCTGAGTCATGTGGGAAGAGTCAGACCTCGCCCCTGCAGGTGCCACGCCCCTCCTGCCCCATCCTCAGCCATCGGCGCCGGACCAGTTCCTGCCCCCCGTCCCCAGAACCCCGCCCCGGCTACGCCCTTCCTGCCCCCAACCTGTTGGACGTCGCAAACCCTCCAAAGGAACCACAGGTGCCACCGCAGTACCGCTACCAGCCCACCAAGAGGCACAAGACCAGATGTCTTTGGTTCCGACGTCGCCAGGGGAAAGGCTCAAAGCAGGAAGCCTTGTCGACCACACCGCTTCTCCAGAAAGGTACGGCTCCCAGCCTGGACAATGTTCTCATTTTACACCAGTTAGAGGTTCTTCTGGAACCAGTATACTGCCGTCAGACATTCAGTACTTTGGTTTCAGTTCATTGGATGTGACTTCTTCTGCTAGCACTGGTTATCAGGAACGAGTGTCAATGGTCTGAATCGTTCTGTCCTTTGTCCGGTGTGGAGTTTTCCCAGTTTGGCCCCAACCAGCAAACCTTTTGGTCTGGGTTTGGTTCTGGATTGATGGAAGGCTACGATGTTTGAGTCTTGGTTTGGGTCTCATTGTGGCATCGTCTCATGACAGTACCTCACTTACCTACTTCAGTGGGAAACTCTGAATTTTGAAAGCTTGAAATTTTATTTTAAAGTTTGCTACATTATCATGATTACAGCAACGGTCTTAAAAATGGTCTCACATTGGTTTGGTCTCGTCTTAATCTCTGATTGGTTGCTGCCTTCCTCAAAGTCTTGGTCTTTGGCCCACTGTTTTTGCACCTTATCGTTCGATAGATTCAGTTCGATTTGGGACCAAAATGGTAACATTTGTCCCATTTCCAGCTGCTGTGGTTGTTCTGAGTCAAACCAACCAAACCCTTTAAAACCTGTTCCCCTCCTCAACTGTGGGGGCGCTGCACCAAGAACCACTGAAGGAAATGACATGAAAACCTCCGAGCACAACTTCCTTCTCCACAAAATGGAAACAAAAATTGAGTTATCAGATTTTAGTGGTTGCATAATTTCTCTCTTGTCTTCTTTTCACCACAAGTCATTTCTCATGCTAGCGCGTTAGCTTTGGTTGTATTTACCCAGAATGCCCTGCGCTGTAGCATGCTTCCTGCTTTTGGAACGGTCTGCGGTCCACTTGGTGTTCACATATCGAACCGCACCAGAGTTCACTTCAGCAGAACCCAGAGGGAGGTTTGTAGACAGACCAGAGTTCAAGACTAATGAGAATTCAGCAATAAAACTATCATTAAACAAAGAGTCTAACTAAATAAGTAGAAGAAACACTCGCTGCAGTTCTTACAGTTAAAGAAATGAAGTTTCCATTTCTTCTCATTTCCATTTTCTGTTATTCAAACTGTTTCAAAGCCATTAATATTTGATGCTGTTTCTCCTCAGCAGAGCCGATGGAGGTTCTTTAAATGAGGATTATCTGGGTTTTCCTCTGTTTGGCCCCAACAGGCCTTTTACTTTCCTGTGTCTCAGCAGGAATCGCTGCTGCATTATTGATCACATGATCAGTGTTGACACTAAACTGATCAAGTCTGCTGAAAGTTTGCTCCTGAAATGTGTTGGGGAATGTGAGTCTTTGTTTCCCAGTTTCTACTGGTTCTCATAGCTGCAGAACCTGTAGCCTGCAGCTATGAGAACCTCTCTCTCCCTCTCAGATCAATAATGCATCACAGATCTTGTTCTTCTCATAACTCGTAGCACAACCGGCTCCCTGTGTTTCTCCTAATGACCTCCTCTGTGTGTGTAATCTGCTCTGTGTGTATTTGTGTTCATGGATTAGCAGCAGCTCCATATGCTAAGCTACAGGCTAATTCCTGTTCCAGCAGATGAGCGGCCCGTATGGCTGCAGCAGCTGCTACCTGGCAGCTTCACCTCCGTCAGCCATGGTGACGCTGGAAAAAGTCATTTCTCCCTAAAATAACTGGTTCACTGCTGAGACAAATGATCTTTGCAGAATTGATTCAATTCAACCATATTGGAGGATTTCAGAGCTTCAGCTGCTTGTTAAACTGTTGTTTTGTCCATGTGTTAGTAGTCATTCTGAGACTGGACACTTTTAATTTGTAATCAGGTTAATGATTTTGTTGCACAGTACAACACAAAGTATTTATGTTTTTATAACCAACTTTTAATAAAAGGTAAAACCAGGAGACTTTTCTTCCAAAGCAGCTGTTTAGAAACAAAGTGACCCAAATCCTGTTCTTATTACTGAAAATAAATTTATTCAATTGAGCCCCAAGAAAAAGAAAACTAGACACTTTCCTTTTAATGCAGAAAACAGGCAAAATCTGCTAGATTGGATTAGGGCCATTTTAGGAGAAAACAAAGTAGTACATTTTTGCCTAAAAACACTGAAATTTTGAGAACAATTTCAGAAATTTTCTAGAAAGAAATTATTTTTTTTTATTAATAGAAATTTTCTACAAAAAACCTGATTAATCTCTAAATTTACTCTTTTTTCTATCTGATGCGCCGTCATAAAAATCTCTTAAGTTTTAGATCTGCAATAAATATCAGGTTTCACTTGTTGCTTGAATATTGGCTGATTTATTTTTGTTTGGCCGACTACTTTTAAATCTACAATTTTAATTTTGACCCACATGATAAAACATTTGGACCCCCCTGCTGTAGATAATCTTACGATTTATTCCTGGTGATCTGATCCGGTAGGAAGAACGTCGGAACCGCTCCGATCTAAAATCTGATTTATCCAACATGTTTATTGACCATTTTAATATTTTGTATGTGAACTAAACATAATTCTGTTATTTTTAACATCTTCAAGAAACTTAGGAACGTAAATAATTGATTTTTCTGTGTTTCCTGATTCCCGCCCATCTTTCCTGGCTTTCTTAATGGTGACGGTTCTGATTGAGCCTCTTGGTTCTAAATATAACAGTGAGATAATTTGCCCTACTTGGTGTCTAATTATTGAAACTAATTACAACAGTGAGGAGATGGAGATGAACAGACAGGGAGGCCGTCAGCCTTGAACACTGTAATTAGCTGCTCCACATTGTCGACACATTTACCAACTGGAACTGTCCCAGTTTGGCTCTGGTGATGGAGGTGAACCCAATTAACCACTAAAACTAATTATGGAGGACGGAGCTGAAGGACGGTTCAGCTGCTGGTGTTTCAGAACCTTAAAGTCCAGTTTGGTATCTGCTTCACCATCAGCTGATGATTCTCACAGAACAGTGAACAAAAACCATTTAGAGTTAAATATCTCTTCTCTTCATAGGCCTGACTTCCACTGGAAAATGTTACACCAAGACCAAGAGGTTTCATTAAAGATGCATAAAAATCATCTGCAAACTACAGAGTCTGTGGACAAACTGGTCACGCTTCAGCTTTTACCACCTTGAAGCATGGAGTAAGGTCAATGCTGCAAATAAAACACGACAAAGGAACTACAGACACAATATAGCATCAAAAAGATGGCAGGAAAAACACTATAAAGGACAGAAGGACGAGGAAAAACAAAGATTGAACTGCAGGGAAATAAAAAAACCGATACAAAGGAGGCATCAACCATCTGAACTAAACTGGAAAATGTTCCATTAAATATACATTAGAATCTACATATTCCCAATAAACACGTTGAGGTTGAAAAAGGCTTTAAAGCAACACAAACCCTACAAACATCCAGCTGCTTTAAGAGCTTCAAAGTGACAGAATAAAACATGAAGGATTCATAAAATGAGACATAATGAGGCCTTTTATCACTCAGCCGATGCAGAACTCGGCTCATTATTTCCTGGATTTTTCCTCTAAACCCTGCGGATGGATTGTCCTCCCAGCGACACCAGAACACAGAGAATAAAAGATAAAACGTTTCACATCAGACCCACAAACAGCCCCTTCCTCTTCATCTTCAAAGCAACACGTTCCTGCAGCGTCTGCAGGTAACCTTCATCACCTGGTGGCTCCTGAAGGGCGTGCACGTGCACTGGCGTCCTGCCCGCGTGGGAGGGGTGTGTGTGTGTGTGTGTGTGTGTGTGTGTGTGTGTAGGTGTGTGTGTGTGTGTGTGTGTGTGTGTGTGTGGAAGTGAGAGAGGGAGAAAGAGGCTGGGGGCGAATGAGAGAGAAAGAGAGAGAGGAGTGGGAGGAGAGCGGCGTCGCAGCGAGCGGAGCTGCATTACTGCTGCTGCTGCAGCCGCAGGAGTGTGTGTGAGTGTGTGTGGGTGTGTGTGAGGCTGTGTGGCGTCGTCATGGTTCTGATCGGAGTCGCCATCAAATCCGTCCTCAGATTCCTCACCAGGACCACAGGTAGGAGACGCAGCGCTGAGGATCAGAAACTGGGTCAGTCAGGATCAATAGATATCAGTTATGGATCTTAGAAGATGACCTCATATCATCCTGCTCTGTGATTGGCTGTCGGGTTTTTGCATTGAACCAAACATAGTTGAGGTCGACAGTTTGATCTGTGTTCAGATTTCTTTTCTTATGACCTGTGAGTGACTGACAGTAGGTGATTGATTGATTATTGATCGGTAAACCGGTTTATTGGTTCGTTCTGCTCAGTGACTCCTACCAGAACTTCACTGTTTTATGTTCGTTTGCTTGGAAACATTTCATCTGTAGAGGATCTGCTGTGTTGGGGGAACCGGACCCTCAGGAGATGTTCTGGACGGTTCCAGAGGGTTTTACTGGTTACCAGTAGAAATAAGAGGCGATTGATCCATGATGACCCAATATTTGAACATTTTAATCAGTAGTAACTATATAATTGACACTTTTAAGTTCTCATGAAACATTCAGTGTTTTGAGGATCTAAACGTCAGTAAAGCCAAACTGAAATCTCAGATTACCATGGAAACCATTTTAGCGCTACCACAGAAGCTAATAGCTACAGCGCCAAGGAAAATGATTTTGAAATGTTTTTCAGCTGACAAACGTTTCTAACATAGCAGATCTACGTTAGAAACAATTAAAATTAAAAATACTTTATTAATCTTAAAGTGAAATTAAACAGAGAAACTCCAACAATCTGCCACCTTGAGCAGAGCTTTACAAAACACTGATGAAGACGTAAATCGTCACATTTTGAGCAGTAATTGATCTATTACAAATACATTTCCTAATCCCGTTGAGGCGCCATGATGGAGGCTGGAAGTCAGAGTCTGAAGTTTTGACTGATTTTCTTAAGTTGTTTTAGTTTCCAATGTTTTTCATGCTAAGCTACATGACAGTGGAACGTTTTCTCCATTTTTACTATTGATTAGACGCGTCTTCTCCATAATGTGATACTTGATTTTATCTTTATAATCTTACTTACTTATGAAGTTTATAAATGTTAATCTTCTTTACTTATAAAAAGCTTTTGCTGAAATCCCATGAATTCACTGAGAGCTGCCCGTCCTGACGACTGACGGCTTTTTCTCCATCGTCGTCTTTGTTCCTCATCAAAACGTTTACGATAAAATTAAGTTTAGTTTTCATCCTTGTCTTCACAGTGAAATCAAATAAAGTGATTTTAGGCTATAAACTGTCAAGCTGTACAGTAGTTAACGTTATTGTTTTGGCGTCCATCATGGCGGAGTGGACCTCTTTCTGAAGAGCGTGACATCACGTGTCAAAGGTCAATACTTGGTTTGACAGACAAGGACTAACTGTGTCGTCTCAGAGACGTTTTCTGGACTGAATGCAGAAGTCGGTTTTAAGACGATAAACCTCGTTTTACACGAATTTGATTATTCAATATTTGTCTGATCTCCTGATTGAGTTTATTCATGTTGCAAATAAAATAGAAATGTTTTAGGAGTTCACAAGCCTGTGACCATTTAAATGGTCGTCTGTTTTTATGTGCCAGCGTTCTGGCTCCCATTTATAGAAAAATGAGAGTTAAATGGGACATCTGTCCACACACCTGTCCACTGAATCCCCCTGGAAGTCAGACGGCCTTTCCTTCAAATTAAAAGCCCCTGAAGCAGGGAGCCGGGGTCACCTTGACGCTGCTGAGAGCTGCAACTTCCATCATCAACTGTCTCGGTGTGAGAGGAAATCTTCTGAAACGAGATTAAACACAGAAAACCTCACAGTGATTATTCTGTCTCCGTCCGTCTTTGTCTTTGTCTCTGCAGCCGGGGACAGGGACAGCAAATGGTCCGTTCACTACAGTACCCAGAAGCCTCCGCAGGGTCTGCGCTTTATTCCTGGGAAACGGCGGTCGGGCAGCGCTGATGACCTGCGAGGTGAGATGAATACTGCTGGAGTCTGACCAGATGGAGAGGAGAGACGAGAACAAGGACAAAGACAGAAAGAGACAAAACTACAGAGTGCACACTGACCACTTTAAATGATTAGTCTTTCTGCTCTGAATTAAAATAAAATGTTTTTCTGCTTTACAGCGCAGAGAAATAAATTGATGGGTTGTAGTTTTCTCTTCCCTGGAAGCTTTGAATCAGATTTTATGATCTTTAAATGAAAAGGTATTGATCTGCAGACATGTGAGTGAAGAAATGAGTGTTGCAGTTGGACTGCAGTGGCGCACTCTGCTGCAGCACTGCTCTGCTGCAGCACTGCTCTGCTGCAGACTGCATCGCAGCAGCTGCAGCACTGCTCCTCTTCACAGCCAGCAGTAGCAGGTCTACCTGCTGATTGGCTCTTCCTTTTCTTTCTGTCTGTCCACAGCTTACAACGGGCTGACTCAGCATGACTGCTTCAAGCCCCGCCCACCAAGTCCCACCTTTGCTCCACTGTGCGGTCTGGACCAATCAGAGGGCGGCGCTCACAGAGGCTGGCGGAGCAGAGGCAGAGCAATGGTGAGATGGTGTCAGTGACTCATGAATATTAATGAGGCTGAAGCGACCGCAGGGAAACGGCGGCCTAATGAGTCATGAAGCGATGACTACACACTGCAGATTATAATCCTGCAGGGATTATTTTATATGAAGCCTCATAAACAGAAACACATCCATTAATTATTCATCCAGAGACTTTGCTGCTTTGACATTATTTCATTTTAAAGGATTGAAAAGCTTAATTAACCCTTCATTTACTCTGCAGCTGTGAAGATGTTTGACTTCTGCTGCCACCTGCATTGCCACTGTTCTTGCTGCATCCAGATGACTAATCGTTTTGTTTTTTTGTCCTCTTTCTCCCACTCATCTCTCCTCCTCTCAGAGGTCCAGAGTCTTGGACTTTTTCTCTCAGTCTTGTTTTTCAGTTTGTTTCAAGTTTTCATTTTGGAGGAGAAAGGTAAACGGGGACCAAACTTCCTAAAGTTAGTTTAGTCAGTCGTACCTTTAGCTCCCTGCTAGTCGACATTTAAAACCTGAAGCATAAAAACTGGCATTAAACTGTTTCTAGTTGAGCTGAGCTGTAAATTAAACCTTGTTTTTTTTTTTTTATTGTCAGTCTTCAGCGTCTTCAGATGAAGATGAGAAGTTCTTCCTCCCCAACCCGCGACCCATGACCCCACTGGTCCTGAATCCCATCAGTCTCTCTTCCTGCTGGGATGATGGATCCGACACGGAGCCTCTTCAGCGCCTTCCAACGCCGGAGGAGAAGATGAGGCAGCAGGCGGAGGCCGTTGCAGCTGATATAGTTCCTATCAACGTAACGGGTACAAAGACCAGAACCTCTGGGTTTGACTCAATCTGTGATGTTACAGCCTTTAAAGATGGTTTGACATTTGTTTGTGATTCAAGTTGGTCCTTAAACCTGATGTGACCTTCTTTTAGATTTATTATATTCATTTTAATTTACAAAAAGATTTATACTTTAACTGCTAGCAATGCTGTTGGTGAATTAGCAACTGGTCCAGAAAAAAATCTTGCTTTTGTTATGATCACATGGCACATCAGCTTAACTTCTGAATATTAAGTAGGAAAAACTACATTTTTTTTGGCTAATATCACAATTTTCTCAAAACTACAACCTTTTTACATTTAAATTGTTTCTTAATTTCTCAATTTAACCAAAGATTTAACTTTTTTTTCTTTTTACCACATAAAGACCTCTTATTCAGCTTAGAGACATTTAGACACACAGGACAAACAACCATGTAGCAGCCAGGTAGCAAAGCAACAGTCCTAACAATTGTGCAACACCTTAATGTGACCAAGTAGTTTTATTTATTAAGCCAAATCATTTATTTCTTAGACCAAAGCAAATATGAAGTTGGAATGAGAACTTTAAAAGAATGTTTCAAACATTCATACCAAAAAATTTGAGATTTTCAACCAAACTAAAGATTTTTTATTCCTAAACCAAACCAGTTATTCTTGAGTCCTAAAAACAACAAGTAGTCCATCATCTTAAAGGGAAAGAAGCAGTTTGATTTATAATAGTAATAGTTTGATTTATTTAGTGTAACAATGTATTCTGAGTTGTTTGTAATCTGTTGCCTAAACTCCAAAGATGGAGTAATTTGTAATTTGTTGTTTATTTGCCTTTAAGGTGAGAGTTTTGACCGACAGGCCAGTTTTCGGAGAACAATCTCTAATGGAGACTCGTTAAACCGAAGACCTCATAAACTGAGCCGCCGTAAAACCGTTTCTGCAATATCGGACGATGTCATCCCCAAGCCCTCGGTTCCAGTGAATCTACCTGGCCAGTACTCAACAGTGGGTCGACTTCCTTCCTCATCCTCCTCCTCACATCAGCAAAACAGCATGGAGGAGGCCATGGAGGAGAGTGAAAGAGACAAAAAGGAGGGACCGTCTACCTCCAGGAGAATCAGAGCCCCAAAGGGTGAGGGCATGTCCAGCCTCATGGCCTCCCTGACCGCCTCACCAAATGTTGGCAAGCAGCCCAACTCCTGTCACTCGTCTTCCTCTGAGATCGACAGCCTCCCCCGTATTCCCACCAACTCCTCTCTGAGTTCGGAGGTCAGCTTTAACAGCACCACCTACAGGACACTCAGTGCTTCCTCATCTTACAGCCAGGTCAGTCCAAGAAAAATAGTGCCACGTTGAATTAACCACAGCCAAGTTAAAGGTTGTGTCTCTTTTCTTGTCGTTTTCTCTGCAGTCGCAGGATCAGCAAGGTTTCCCAAGTGATTTCCAGCCATTGTTGCCCTACGATCCTAATGTCAGAGTCATACCCCAATCTCCTTCTTCCTCGTCGTCTTGTTTTCCTTCTTCTCCTGTCAACTCCTGCATCTCTGACACCCCCAGCCAATTGCAATCAGAGTGGTCTTATCCCAGTGATAGGCCTTTAAATGACGGCTCTTCTCACTACCTCTCCTCTTCAAGCATCGCTGATTCTGTGTCTCAGTTTAGTTACCAGGCTCTGGCCGATCATACCATGACCCAGCAAAATGCCCAGAACTTCTCTGATGGTGACTCCTGCAGTGGGGAAAGCTGGAGCTACAGGCCTCTTTCTCCTACCTCCAGCATCCACAGCGGTATCACCCAGGACACAAGATGTGTCTCTGAAGAAGGCTGGAACTGTGAACCCCTTCTTTCTTCTGGTCGCTCCACCCCTCTCTGCATTGACAACGCCTCCCTTTCTTCAGAGAAGATGTCTTCATCTCCCTTGCTGAACCGGGAGAAAAGGAAGTCCAGCACTTCAGCATTCTACTCTCGCTCTATGACACGCAGCATCTCCCTACACAAGTCCAAGCGCCCACCTCCCCCGCCACTGCGCTCCGACTCCTTGAGGCGCCGGCCAGGTCGCAGCAAGGCCTCGCGTTCAACAACAAGCCCACGTCCTGACCGGAGTCCTCGTGTGGATCGTAGCACCTTGCACACACCTAAATCATCTCCTCAGACCTTCCCTGACCCCTGGGTGCCCAGGAGCAATGCAAAAAGACATCAGAGTGGTCTGAACTGTGGGACAGTCACAACCTTCGAGCCTTTAAGTCCAAACTCCCAGAAGGCAACTTCCACTGACTCCGACCCTTCCAGTGCCAACCCAATGAGCCCCAAATACTGCCTAGCGCTTAACCCTGGATATCCAAGTTCAGAGGATAAAGATCTGAAACTCTCTCTCAACCATCCACCTGACTCCTCTGTTGCTGGGCTTCAGCGCCTTGCCTCTCCATCCAGTGGTTACTCCAGCCAGTCTAACACCCCCAGTCCTGGAACTCCAGTCTCTTCACCCCACAATCCTTCCTCCCCTCTTACAGCAAGCCCAGAAGCATTTTCCCTTCCTCCAGCCACCCCTTTCTTTAGCTCATGCTCTTCAACCTCACCATTTTCCCCCACAGCCTCTTCCCTCCCCAGGACCAGGTCTCGAGGAAAAGGGAAGCCAAAGCCTCCAGTGCCACAGAGGAAGTCATCACTTCTCTCTTCCTCATTTTCCTCCACCTCCTCTCTCTCCTCCTACACCTCATCTGACTCCTTAGCCAGGCAATCACTTCTCCCTCCTCCTCCTCCACTTCCACAGTCCTCTCCCCCTGCTTCCAAGTTCTGCTTTCAAACTCCTGATCTTCTTCCTCCTCCACCTCCTCTTCCTCCCCCTCCACTCCCACAGTCCACTTTTCCAGTCCCTGAGTTTTGCCTTCGTGCTCCTTGTCTTCCACATCCTCCTCCACCACCACCTCCTCTTCCACAGTCTTCTCCTACAATCCCTGGGTTCTGCCTCTCTGTCTCTCCAGCTATCACTTCTATGCCTCCACCTCCTATACAGTCTCCTTCTTCTTCTCCTCCTTCACCACTTACAACTCCTTCAAAACCTGAATTTTGCCTCCATGTTCCTCTGTCTTTTACCAAGCCTCTTCCACTTCCCAATGATCTCCCACCTTTATCTCTACCCCCTCCTCCTCCTCTACCTATCCCCACCCGGCCTCCTCCTCCTCCCTACTCTTATGCTGTGAGGCAGACCTCACATCATTCTCTGGGCTCGTCTGTACCATCCCACTTTGATCCTTCGCCACCCTGCCAACCTTCTCAACCATCTTTTGAATTATCTGACTTAGCCGACTCCCCTCCTCCGCAACCTTCTCCTCCATCACCTGCTCTCTCTGAAGCTTCCTCCTTTTCCTTTCTCCCATCAAGTCCAAGCACATCTCCAAGGCCCCTCTCTCATCTGATCACCCCTCAAGCTTTGCAGTGTGTCAAACTCCGCTCGGTCAAAAACCAGGCAGTACAGCAAACCGAACATGACCCAACTGACAGCCAACTTCACACTGAAGTTAGTGTGTTACTAACTAACGGTAACCAGACGGAAGAGACTCAACCAGACTTTGATGCATTAAATGAGTCCTTTCTTGATTGTCTTGCCAATGCTGATGGAGACATGTCTCCACCTGGAGCAAAACAGGCTACCTATAATACAGCTAGCAGTGACACAAGTCCATTATTAGCCAACAGCAATGGCCGAGTCAGTACTAAAGTAAAACAGACAGAACTGTATTGCAAAGACCCAATGAAAAGTGAGAGTGGGATTTCCACTGCAGAGTCAGGTGATACGAAGCTTCAAAGACAACAAGGCAGCTCAGTTAGCGAGAAAGACCATGACTTTAAGCTTAGCAAAGAAATCACACAAAATGTCCAGGTCAATGGGCAACAGAATAAAGATTCAGACATGTGTCCCCCTATGGCGAGTGTGAATGTCTCCAGTCTTGACAGTCCATGGGTAAAAATGTGTCCTGATGATGATGACACATGTTGCATGAATAATAATATCCACAATCCTCCATTAGAGCAACCTTCCTCAGAAACAGACTTCGCAAAGGATATAAAGAGATTGAGAGAAAAGAAGACCAACGTAACAGAAAAGATAAACGAATATGAAAGAAATGAAAAGAATAAATCAGAAATACAGAATAAGACTGATGTGAAAAACAATAATAGGGATGTTCAGTCAAGCAGTCCAAGGAAGCTGTACTCTCCAGAGAAACCTGCCCCCCCTAAGAAGCCTGATCTTGGCATTCTGGGTCCCTTGACATCCCCAAAGCCTAGAAGAGTACCAGGAGGGCCGAGTAGCCCTGGGCATAACACAGAGTCCTGCCCTAGACCTAACACTTTAGATTCCTTTAACAAGCAGTCCCATATATCTAGCAACATGCCATCACCAAAGCACTTGACAAACACCTCTGACAATTCAGAAATACCAGGATGCTCGATGAACTCAAGAAACTCACCTGCCAGTTCTCCTCAAAGGCAGAAGCCACAGATTTTGCACAAGAAGCCAGATCCTTCGTTGACCTCTCCCAAAACAGCAAAACCAGCTTTTGCATCCAAACACACTGGAGAGAAACTCAAAGGGACTTCAGCAAACAGTCATACTTTAGAAACTCAGACCACAATGGAAACCAGAAGCACCTTAGAAACTAGAGCTGGTAATACTTACAACAAATCCTGCAGCTCATCACAAATGATCGATGTCTATGAGACCCATCACTCTTCAGGGTCCCCATCAGTGGGGATGGGTCCCTCAGGAGTCCGTGAAACCACTTCTACCTGGACAGAAGCAATTCAATCTGGGGTGGCTGAGCCTCGTTTTGGTAGGATCATTGGGACAAGGCAGCAAGATGAGGAGATAACCAACCACAGGAGGTTTATGAAGTCCTCACTTGCTGAAGATGAAGATGAGGAAGAGGAAGGTAGAGTGGAAGACAAGGAGAGGAAGAAAACAGTCATGATGATGATGTCATCCCACAAAAAAGGTAAATCCAGGAGAGTGAGGAAGAGGCGGCCAGGCCGACAGTTGTTGATGATGTCACCAAAATTGGAGCCCTCTCCCTCATCGTCATCATCGTCCTCCTCTTCGTCATCATCTTCATCATCATCAGAAGATGACCCAGATGTGATAAAAGAAAGGGTCGACAGGCGAAGGAAATTCAAAGTTTGCAACCAAGAGACGAGTGACTCTGAAAGCTCGTACACTCTGATTGGTCAGAGCAGGTTTTCCCTCAGCAGTTTGCTGTCAACTGAGAGCCTGCAGGGGGAGCTATCACTGCCAGACCTCCTGATCAAAGAACCAGATGAAGAGGAGGAAGAACCAGGAAAGGAAGAGCCCCAAGGTGATGAGGCCAAGGAGGCTAGCAGGTCTTCAGATGGTGAGTTGCAGACATTTTGGTTACAGTAAAGACGAGGCAATGCTGGACTCTTCAGGTTATTCTCATCAGAGCCTTGAGAAGTTGAAATTTTTACATAGAAGTAATGAATTTATAGAATTGTGACCAACTTCCAAGGATTAGAACCTACTATTGGATGTGTGTGCTTTGCTTGTTGTGCACTGTACAACTAGCATTGAGTCATACAGTAAGAGTACATACTTACCAGTGACCCTAAAATCAGTCTACATTATTGGGTTCCAGTGCATCGTCCAGTGACAGGTTTAGCTAACAGCTTTAGTCTTCAGGTTTTCTGTGTCCATGAACCAAATGGCAGAGAGCCAGTGGTTACGGCCCATAGTCATGAATCAACTTGTCCCATGATCCACTCAACCTGGAAACTATTCAGCTGCCCTCACTGTTTAGATAAACTGTTATTTGTTGTGTCTGAATGTTCTAGTTTTGATGGTTCTCCTCAAGTGATACACGGTTGGAAAACTCAGTGATAAACTGGTTATTCTTATCAAGTCTATTTTAGACATAATAAAAGAGAATTGATCATTTGTTTTTCAGACGATGTGTTCGTCAACGTTTCGGCGGATCAGATGTTGGTCTCCGGTCGTCCTCGAACTACAGAAGATCTGTTCACCATCATCCACAGGTACACTTCAGTTCATACTGAGTTCTGGTATTCTAACAACTGACAATACACATCCTCATATCTGCTTGATCCCTTCCTCTGCCTCTGGAGCAGTGCAGTATGGGAAGGCACCGCATGAACATGTCGGTAATCAGGTTGCAGGTAAACCTTCGAATTGGGCAGTAAATATGTAGATGGTGCAGTTCCAAGTCCTGATTCCTGTAACGAAGCACCGAAAAGTGAAATCAACCCTTGTTACCTAAATATGTGCATAGTCTCCTATCTTGTTTCCTTGCTCCTTTCATTCCCACTGACCCTTACCCTTCAGTTAGGCTTCAACAGCTTTCCTCCCACATATTTGTCCCTTTAAATCTGGTTGGCTGAAGCAGGTTAACCTCATTAAGAGGCAATTGATGTGATTTGGTCCAGTAGTTGTGAAAAGTATTTGGCCAAATCAAACATCTTCTCAAACTGACCGGACACAAGGATCTAACTGGTGCTTCTTGTCTAATTTTCTCAGATCGAAGCGAAAGATGCTTGGAAGAAGAGACTTTGGAGAACTCCCTCTGTCCTCCTCTTCATCTTCGTCCTCTTCCCCTCCAGAGACTCCCACTGAACCCCACCTGACCCAGGCAGCAGGGTTCAGGAACCCCAGGTCAGCCAGGAGTGAGAGTTTTAAGGCTCTGCTGCTGAGGAAGGGCAGTCGAGTCGAGGCGTCTTCCAGGATCTCGGCAGTGGAGCGCCTTTGTGTCGGTCAGTTTCCACCTCCTGCTGACCCTCAGAAGACGCCTCCTCCTCCCCTGACCTCTGACCCGTTGGATGATGGGAGGTCCAGCAGCTTTCTGACTGTGAACGCCCCTCCGTTATCTCCCTGCGCGCTCTCCATGATGTTTGGCTGGAGGCGCCGGGATCTGATGCTGCTCACCTCTTCCTCACCCGTCCTTGTCTTCTCCTCCTCCCACATGCGACCTCGCTCCCTCACTCCCCCCTGCTCCAGCAGCCGTCGGTTCGCTGGACGCTGCCGCCTCTTCGCCGCCCCCATGACCGCCATCTTGGAAGGGGAAAATGAGGAGGAAGATGGAGAGATTTTAGTTGGAAGAGAATCCAGTCTGAGCATGGTCGAGGCTTCTTAACCGACACGCTGACAGATAAAAGCAGCTCTGAAATGTGTGGATCAACCTGGACTGATTAGACTGAAGCCTCCCACATAAGCCTGGTTCCAGCCCTTATGGGTCCCCTCATGACCGTGGACTGAATTCCTCCAGAACCCAAACTCATTAGTTGTGTTTCTGTCAACATTTTTTTAAAGTATTGCATTAGAAACAGTTGACGTAATATTCTAAATAACTTCCTCAATAACACTCACTTGTTGAGTTAATGCTCTAAAGTGGAGAAGGAAAGATCAGATGTAGTGAACACTCCCATCCACTGGTGGGTCTGTGCCTTACCAGAGGCACCAAACCAGAAATATTTTAAAATCTGTGCTAGCTAGCAACCTCTACTTTCTGATTATTACAGCCATGCGTACATCAACATCTGACGAAATTAATCTTCAGCCTGGTTGATGGAAACACATCAAACTTGCATCGTCTTTTTTGTGACATTTTAAAAGTTCACTCAGAATAACAAAATAACTTGGTTATATTTGAAAGCTTATCAGTAAAGCAGTTGCTAACTGATCGTTAGCTTGCAGGGGTGCAAGTGCAAAAGCTTTGAAGTATGACTATTTACCATTTTTCCTGAATAAACTCAAAGCAATACTCAACATACTGTATTTTACAATTGTAACTTTGACTCTTAACAGTTCTGGGAATTTGATGGAAATGTTGAGAAACCCAGTTTCTTTTCGGAGCATCTTCTCAGTCGGACTCTCCACTATAAACTCTGTTTAACGTTGGACTTTATCTGCCTGATTTACTTTTTAATATCGTTTACAGTTTCCACTGATTTTAGTTTTACTGCTGGATGTTTATCTTATCTTGTGATGATGTCACACTTTTAAATCCAGTTTCATCTCCACATGTACAGTTTATACATGAGATTAGAGGTTCACTAGCGTTTCTCCTGAACTTTTCTTGTTTACAGTATAAAAGTACAAAGCTGCACAAAGTCAACATTAATCTTTAAATACCCATATTTACTAACCTGGAGTCAGTTAAAATTCTATTATCTTTGATTTTGAGGACAGCTGGCTGTAAAGTTTTTATTTCTCTACACTTGGAGACATAAATCATATTTACTATGAATGTTTTAGTCTTTTTTTATACATCGTCATGTTTATAACAGTTTCACTGAAATATATGGAAACAATTCCACTTTAACTTTGTTTGGATTAGAAAAAAAAATTATTTTTAAGTGAGATGCTGTAATTTGTGTTTCTGGTTTGATTTGGGTTTTTACAGGTTGAGATATTTCTAAACCTGCTTTCCTCTATTAAGACGACTGAAATGAATGCGAAAATATTTGTTTCCTGTAAATAACCCTGTTTGGCTCTACTTTCTTATCTTGTTTTCATGTTTTTACCTGATTTCTTATTTGTAGCATCTCAGTAAGTAAGAGTCTGTTTGACTCTCCAGAACTAGACGAAGTGGGAAAAAGATGTTTAATGGCTAAGAGGATGTGCTGCTGTTCAGTTTGGGGACCCGTTTGTTTCCTCTGTGAATGTTAAAGCAGGTTGGATGTAATAAATGTAAAAACAGTTTAGAAAGGAAGGAAGCACTGTGAAGTAAAACAAAGAGATGGAAACTGAATGTGTTTAGAAAGAAGAGTTTATATGTAAGAAGATGTTACTGAAGCAATAAAGAAAAAACTCTGGATTCGTCTCATCATTCCTGAAACATCTGACCTGTAAACTCTTTTTTTTTAATCATTATATTTTTCTTTTGCATATATTTTCTTTGTTATCCCGTCAACTTCCATCCTGTCTACACTTATTCCAACTTTCTGTGTTTTGGGTTTTATTGTATCTCTAGTGTCTGACTGCCAATTCTGCATCCTGAAGGAAGGCTGTGATTGGTGCAGACCGGTGATGACAGTAAATGGTTGATTCATAGAGATAGAGCGTCTAGAACCGCCATCGGACGACGTAAATGGCAGCTGAACCAAACGATGCTCAGTTCTGACCTTTGTTTCTGTTTTTGAAGGTGAGTGTCGTTTCATTTCTCTGCTTCTGTTAAATCGAACCGAACTGGTGCAGGTATAGATTTTAAAGATTTTAATAAATGTTCCCATAGGTCATAAAAGGTCAAAAATGTTCATTTGTGCTGCTTTTGTTTTGGGAGTAAGATATTAATGACGACCTCTGGAAATATTTATTAATATCTTTAAAAATTGATGTCAAACAAACGTTTGACATCAATTTTGTTCAATTTAAAGAAGATTCACTCATTTTTATCTTGTATATTTTTCAGCCGTTAGCCGGTTTTGTATTTTTCCTCTTTTGAGTCTTTAACTGATGCAGTTATTTCTTTGGCCACTAGGTGGTGACCTTGAGCCACTGCTGGCCTGCAGAGAGAAAAGTGGCGCTTACCTTCAGATTTATTTATGGTTTAACTCTTAGTTCTGAGTTGAGTTTGATCCCAAAAGCGAATCTGGCCTTTAGAGATCCGGCTGAGTGAACCCAACTTTAACCAGAAAGTAAGTTTTAGAAGGATCTGGATGTATAAAACTGACCCCAAACAGTCTGGAGAGGACTGAGAAGTGTTTTGGTTGTTAAGGGTTCTTGAAAAGCTCCAGTGGTTCAGTCGGTGTTATGACAACCTGAAACGTCTCAAGTCAATCGGAAGCTTCTTAAAACGGCTCAGTGAAGCTTCAGACTGTTTGAGTTCAGATGTTTTTCTGTTTTTACTTTAGGTTTCTAATTACTCCGTCTCTGGAAGAGGGATACCAGAGTTAGATAGTTCTGCATCATTTTTCAAATACGGGAATGATTTTTGCAACAACAAAAATACAACATGAACAGTTTCCTTCCGTTTTCACCAGACAAGCTTCAAGTTTAAAACGGTTTGGGAGTATTTCTCTGTTTTTATCCTGTTTGCCGTCTTATATGTTCTGTTTGTATCTGCAGGGAAAAGAATCTAGTCGAGTTAATTACAAGGTATGTAATAAATCACATTTTAATCTAAAACTTTCGACAAAATAAGAAATACTTTCAATTCAAACTCCTTTTTGATGCTACATTTGTCAGAAATTTAGCAAAAAACAAAATTTTTGTCTCAACAACAAAAATATTTATTGTTTTTACTCTGTTCTTCAGAGTGGAACAAAGTTCATCTTTCCAGAGTTTCAGGAAGTCCTGATCATTCAGGGAGCTTCTTTAGGCGCTAACATTAGCATGTGCAACATGTTGAATAGATTCATTGCTAGCTCCTTTTAGCACAACCTGAACACAATACCAGTCTTTTTTGGTGACCAATCGGATCGTTTTGAGGCAGAAATTAACCCCCAGAAGGCCGAGAGAAGCAGCTTCATCGTCCATCACTTAGCTTGTGCGTCAGATTTACAGGTTTACCAGAAACATGCAAATACAAAGGTTCCCATTTGAGATTTTTGTGTAGAAAAGAAGAAAATGCAATATATTTAACTAAAAGTAAGTCTCAGACTTATTTATGCAGGTTTTCAGGGCTGGGGAAACCAAAAGGAGCTGCAGGGATGCTTTTGGACCTGGTGCCTGAGCAGAATGGTCCAGGACTAGCAGACGATGCTAATGATGATGATGGACAGCCTTCAGATGGTTTCATCCAGCAAGTTTCAGTTCAACGCAGGAGAGGTGAAAACCTTCAAAGGTTTTGGGTTTTAATAAGTTCTGAAGGTTCAAGTTTAGGGACTTTTGGGTAATTTTGCAGGAATTAAAGAGAATTTTGGAAGTTGTCCCAGTTTGACCCCTGACCCTGAGCGTTTTGGATGTGCAGAATAGTGCCGCTGGTTAACTCCTGCAGATATTTCTGCTGATCTCTGTGAAGAACAAGTGGAGTTTGTTCGTCTCTCTGCCAGCAGATTCAGACAAATCTCAGCATTCATGTCATGAAGACTCAGTCGGTCCTGGAGGGAGAATCCAACAGGAAACGTTTTTTGTCTCGTTATGTTTCGCCTGCAGACGTGCAAAGTGCTGACACAGTGGATCGTATTGATCTGATTCTAAATGCTAACATTCAGCTGTGTGGATGTTTGGTTCTGATGTTGGTCTGCAGGGAATAAAAAGATTTACTGGCATCTCTGGAGCCTGAACACATAGTTTACCACGGATCAGCTGACCTTTGACCTGAACCCTAACCCAGTGTGTTTAACGAGTGTCATTATGGAGGCACACAACTTTATGATTGTCTGAATTGTGAGCCAAAAATATCAGTGCTGTGTTTTTCTCCATCGTTGTGCTGATTTGTTCAGCAATGCTCTGGAGTTCAGCTGCTGTTCAGTCAGGGGTGGGCCGACCGGGCCGGTTCTGGTCCCAGCCCACTGCCTTCTGATCCAGACCATCACGTCTCAAACTCCTGTAGTTGTTCTAATCGCATGTGAGGGGAAGAATCGGGGGAAATCTCTCGTGAGTGCGTCTGTGTGTTTTTCCCGTTGTCACGGTAACATGTTGACAGTGGAGGAGCGTTAGCACGCAGGGCGGCTGGCAGAACGGAACGCTTTCAGTCATCTCAATCATCGCAGCGAGACTTCGCCGCCCGCCGCTGGCGTGCCAGCAGCCTCACTCTGCAGATCCCACTCTTCTTCTCTGAACTCCAGGAACGTCTGCATGTTCCCTGAAGTTCAGATCATTCCCACGTCTCTCCTCACATCTGGTCATCACTGAATCAACCTCTGGAATCAGAGACGCCGTTTGTAAAGTGACACAGTAAAACATTAACGGCAATAATTTGGTTAATTTAATCTGTCAGAGAAAAAAAGGCTGTATTTTCACCAAATGTCACTGCTATAAACAAAATATTTAGTTCACACACCAAATATTTAGTTTAAAAATAAAATATTTAGTTTAAAATATACATAATTTAGTTTACAAACTAAATATTTAGCTTTCAAATTGAATATTTAGTTAGGAAACTAATTATTTATGTCCCAAGTAAGTGTTTAAGTCTGAATATTTGGAACTAAATATTTAGTTCCAATGTAAATACTTACCTTTTAAATTAAATATTTGGTTAGGAAGGTAAATATTTAGTTTCCAAAGTAAATGTTTAGCTCCAAGTGAAGCATTTTGCTAGATAAATATTTATTTTACAAACTAAATATGTATTTCAAACTTAAATATTTAGTTTTGAACTCTGATATTTATCAATGTTGGAATAATTTGGTGAAAACTGAAAAAGAACAGTTACATTATTTCTCGCTCAGACTAAATAAACCAAATTTTTGCTCTTAATATTTTACAGTGTAGCTTTTCAAACAGCTTCCTGTTCTGTAAGGAAACGTTTCAGAGTTAAGGGAACGTCTGTGGTTCTGGTTCTGCTTGCAGCTGATTCTCCACAATGAGCCGTTTTTATCCAGAGGAAACAACCTGATCATAAGCAGCAACTTGCACATAATGATTACAGTGATGGTCTCGGTAAACTTTTCTATAAAATCAGTGATTTTCAGTCCAAGAGTCCGAGCTGATTTTGAACTTCTTCCAGCCTTTTCTAGAATCCGACAGTCATCAATCAGTCTGCAGTGTTTTCTCCTCAGTGTGGGAGTCTGACCCCCTGATACGGCAACGCAGAGAGGTCAACTGTTTTTAAAATGACCTTTAATGGGTTCCAGTGGTTCCAGTGGGAGGCTGCTGTGAGTTCTTGGAGCTGGTCCAAAGCCGGGCATGTAGGGAACGCGGCAGCAGGTCTGGATCTGAACGAATGGCAGAGAGAAACGGCATGAGTAAACAGATGCAGGCTGAATGAAGAGCATCAATATTCCTCACTCACATTCCTGCTGGGTTGGATCCAATCGCCGAATTCCCTCTGCAGAACCTGCAAACATGTTCATGAAGCCGACGATTAGTCTGAGCTGATAGCAGCGGGACCAATAAGGGTGGAGCAGCAGCAGGAGGTGTGTGTGTGTGTGTGCGTGTGCGTGTGTGTTTCAGATAATCACTGTTTTCTGCTAACATGTTTTATACCTCAGTTCACTTCAAAAGAGAGAAAAATAACTTACAAGTAACTTTTCAGTTTTGCTATTTTGAAACTGATAAATTTCCAAGTTATTTCTAGAAAATTTCAGTTTTTAGTCCCAAATTTACTCCTTTCTTTCATCTCTAATATGCCGTCGTACAAATACTGAATCCTGTTACAAACACAAAACTTTAATCTATTTTATTGGCATTGAATGTGATAAAAGAACAGAAAATATTTCATAACTGAAGAGGTAGAAAAGCAACAGCCAAAATGTTGTATTCTGATTTCATGTAAACTTTTTTGTTTGGCAGCATCATGCTGTGGGGAGACAGATGGAGCCAAATCAATCAGCGGCAGCAGAGACCTGAGTCTGGGGTCGAGGGTCAACTTCCAGCAGGAGAACCCCCAGTCAAAATTAGAACGGCCTAGTCAAAGCTCAGAGCTAAATGAGGAGTGTCAGCGTGGAATATTTTGCCTTCCGTTGAGAGGATCGCTGCTGCTGCTGCGTCACGCTGCCTCCGCGCGCGCTGCTTCATGCCGACACGCACGCGCCTCCTCCTCCTCTTCCTCATTTCCGTGATCTGCTGGAGTTGAGTTGCGCGTGCAGAGCAGAGCAGACGCAGGTCCGTTTCCACAGAGGGTTCAGATTCTGATCGGTACCTGATCAGCACGAGCTTCGGGTCGGTTCGGGTCTGTTCGGGTCCATTCTCCCGCTGCTGCTCAGAGGCATGAGCCGAACCGGACCCGCTCCAGCTGCAGCCTGCAGAACCGACTCTCTCTCCTGCTGATGAGGATGATGAAGGACCCGCTCCACGCGCTCCGGCGGCCCCGCGCGCAGCTCTAAGATGACACCGGGACTCGGAGCGCGGCACGCGGCTCGGATCCACACCAACCCGGGGTAACACGTCACACAGACACGAAAGGAAGCGGAAAGTTCGGGTCCCCAGAGACGGAGAGGGAGAGTCCGGGCGCAGAGCGCGGAGCGGCGGGGAGAGGAGGCGCAGCGAGCCGCGGGGAGCCGCAGAGGAGAGGTAACCGAGCGCTGCGGGACGCTGCGGGGAGTCCCGCATCACGCTTCAACTCTCATCATGAAACTTTCTCATCCCAAATCTTAAACATGGAACTTTGTTTTTTAACAGAAGCTGAACTTTGTCTCGTTCCTGCAGGTCCAGTGATGCTGCTGCCGCGGACCTCCGTCCGGTCCGCACTCCTCATCCTCCTCCTCCTCCTCTTCATCCTGCTGCAGACGCCGGGACGCTGCCAGGCGGCCGCCCGGCACCGGGGCTCCGCTCCCCAGGCGGAGGCGCGCAGGGGCCGCAACAGCCTGGCGCAGCTGGTCGCCCGGTACCGGAGGGGCCCGGTGGGCTTCAGCGGGCACGAAGCGGCGGGTCCGAAACGGCCGAGCCGGTCGAACCACGGTGAGTCCAGACAGAACCGGGTCTCTGGTCGGAATAATACAGCAGCAGACACCTGCTCCAAAATTCAGAGTCCTGATTGTGGAAACAGTTTCTTCTCTATTTCACTCTTTTACTTCGTCCAGCAGCATAATGCTGCCACTACCGTGCTTCAGACAGATCAGTCTTTGTCTCGTCTGACCATCAAAGTTTGCATATTTGGAAGGAGTCGGTTTAACAGCAGAGCTGCTCTCTGTTGCCGGGATACTGAGGTTTTATTTGGTGAGGTTGACGCTATTTTGTTGGTTTCTAAGTTGTTTTCAAACTTAGAAAGTTTTTTTTTTTTGTTTTTTTTTTTTTTTTTTGGTTATTATAAAACAGCCGTGAAAAAATTTATGGTGTGTTGAACTTAACTAGTAAAA